GAGAGAGAGAGAGGAGGGGGAGGATCGAGCGACGTGTTTATCCGAATTCCCGATCGTCTGATTTAGCGTCTTCCAGACTCGTGTTGGATTGGAAGCTCGAGTGGGAGGACATGCGCGTTATATTTCAGACATCGTGGATAGAGATAGAAAATTATTTACGTAGCGATTAAGTGAAAGTTCGCAAAAAAAATTCTTGTACGAATTATCTCTAGGCTATGAGAGTCACTGCGCCCACTTACACACATATATGCGAATAACAAGACTCAAATAACAGGAAATTCCGACTTATTTATGGACACGCGCTAATTCTTAAAGAAACAGACGCGGGAGTGACCGTCTCGCGTCTAGACTGTCGTGACAAGTTTGAGGTATCGTGTAATATATATTTGTCGTCTGTGCAAATACATTCCTTGGCGAAATTAAAGGGTGACTTTGTTTCACGGAGTTACGCAAAATTACGTACTTCTCGTTTTCGTCACTCATTTGAAGTGAAACCTTTAACTTTCATGAAAAATGCAATCGTGTACGTCATCGGTGTAATTAACAACGTGACGATATTTATTATATTTCCGAATGTTCTAATGGATAATTTTTAGAAATTATTAATGGATCCATCATCCGCAAGACGCTGCGATTGTTTTGGGAACGATGAATTGTAAAAAAAAAAAATCTCTTTTCATATAACATAAATTCTTGAATACAATTCTCTCAAGCTTCACGATGATCCTAAATAGTTCGCCAAGGTTTCTTCAACACTGCCATAATAAAGAGAACACGAGTGACAGCGCTGACTGAAAAAACGTTTGCAAATGTGAATATCGTTCTTATTCAAATATATCCTGGGGATGTATCCCAGGATACATTCCTGGCTATGCGCTTCTATTTCGAGTTCTTCCTAATTTATTCTCGTTCCGTAGTCTCTCATCGCGGGTCAAGGGGACGCGCCCCAATCCCGGAACGAGTAGGTCGACTTCCGGCTCGTGTAAAACTGTCTACGGCTCGCGAGGGTCGTCGCGAGCGGACGCCGCATTTAGAAACGCGTTGTAAACAGCCGCGCGTAAATTTAGAGGAGGAGAGAAAGAGAAACCGCTAAATTCCGTTTATTGACTACGGCGAGACTCACTTAAGCCCCGTTGTTTATGAGGCCGTCGACAACGTCGCCCGTCGCTCGCGCGTCGCGTCCGTCTTCTTCCTGGTCTCGCGGCGATCGCGCCGGGAATCTCCTCAATTTCCTGAAGCCCTAAATAAACGGCGGTTGGGACTGCGCGGAATCCAAACGTTCCTCGTAGGCCTCGCGGCCACGCCGCGCGTCTGGACTCGTTCTCGAAACTCGAACGCGTGATACGACGCGGTTGACAAAAAGAGGGCGGCGAGCGTGCGAACCGAACGCGGCGAAAGTGAATTCCGTCTTGGGTTCGACTTTCAAAAGAGCGACAGACGGCTCACCTTGTGTCTCTCGCGCACGCACGCACGCGCGTGCGTGCGTGCGTGCGTGCGTTTGCACGATTTATTGCGCGGCATTGTCGAAAGAGATCAGCCCCGAGGCAAATCGAAATTGTCCCGCATCGATCAAACGTCTTCGGTGCTATGCCGGCTCTTTTTTCTTTTTTCGCTTTCTTTTTTTTTTTTCCTTCTAATGGCGACGCCGATCGGCAAGTCGCGGAATAGAAAGGCTATTAGACGGCCTCTAATAGTACAGACTACTGGTCCATCGCGGTCAGATTCGTATCTATCGCGCTAGCGAGTCTAACAGCGACTCGTTACCCTCGAAATTCTAACGGTACCTGTCCATCACGACGCGATCGTTTCCCGTGTGGTACACGTGAACTAGTAGCCTCAAGGAGAAGCGGAGTCTGTGTGTAAAGTGCCGTTAATACTACTTTGCCCGCGAGACCACTTGGGCAATTGGGAAGGCACAGCGTAATGTAGTACAATCGTAAAATTTAATAATAATACCGAAGATATTAATTTACAAGAATTCAGCAGACACGAAAAACGCGTGAGGTGATCCGGTTTTGAGAGGATTTTACCTTAAGGACAAAACCTAAAGTAACATATTTTTCAGAATAATGCGTTTATCATATCACGCCGTGAGTGAGTCACGGCGGCAATATACAGGACGATCCGCTGCAATTTTCTTCGCGGGTAAGAGATAAATAAATTCAACTTTCCACTTCGCAATCTTACGTGCTGGATGCGGGATAAATCCTACCGCGCACGCCGCGGAGTGTGTCTGCCGAGGCGAATCTCGGCGAATAGATCTTCCCGGCTCGCGACAGAAACTCTCGCGAGAATTCCTGCGCCCGTCGTAATAAATTCGCGAGCGTAATGATACCGTTTGGCGAGTTTTTACGCAATTTAGAAAGCACACCGACCGACGTAAATCGACGGGCGATCGTTAGATCAGCGGATGACAAAGGGGATCTACGCTCCGGGGAAATCTAATATTTCTAATTTATGAAGCCAATTACGGGGAAGGGAAGGGGGAAGAGGGAGAGAAAGAGAGAGGGGCGGCGATGATGATGTCATAGCCATTATTAGTGGTGCAATTCCGCGGAATGTCGGCCGCTAAGTTATGAAACTACAGAAATCTATTTCGCCCGCCGCGCGTTGCGCTGTATATGGTACACTTTCTTCTCTAACCGAGATAAATATCTCGCGCGTAATTGCAACGCCGGATTCTAAAATCCGCGACCGCGGCCAGTGATAATTCCGCGATAATTGGATCTTAATCTTTTCCGGCCGTCGAGTAAAGTACGCGCTTTCCTGCGATATATTTAAAAATAATACGACTTTTTTTCAATCGGTCTGTTAACGCTCAGGTTCTTTTACGATAATTAATTTTTTTCTATTATACTTTCCTTGCTACAAGTAAGAAAGATAAAGGATTGGATTTGCAGGAAATATGTTTCAAGTTCTATTTACCTCGGAGCTAGATCTCTCTGGAAATATCTTATAAACATTGAGGACATCTTTTTGAATTTCTTCATGCGCGCGAATACATTTACGTATGCTGTGGCAAATATAGGAGATGCGATATCAGTTGGAATCATTCGGTCGGAAAGAGTTAAGAACTTGAAACGCGGGACAGGTAGCTTTTAATCCTGTAATTTTATTAAGCGGAATGCTGCCGCGGAAAGATAAGTAAAGATAGACCTTAAACCGTGCAGCGCGAGACTTGAAAGCGCGGAAAAGCAGTTAACGCAAACTACCGGCGAATTATCGTTCGATCGTGCTACAACTCAGGCAACTTTATTTCGAGACTCGATTCCAGGACGGCGAGAGGGATTCGACAGATCGCGATGTTGTCTCGCGACGATAAATTCGGCGGCATCTTCGTCCGTCCGAAAACGCTGCAAAGCTGCACGAGGCACGTCGCGTATTCCGGCTGACCTAAATCTCATTGACGCTCCCCGCCCGTACTTTCCATCAAGGTGTTCTTTCGGCCTCTATCGATTATTCACGCGTATATTCTGCTCAGTTCCACGGAAATCCTCCCAGCTCGGGGTTTTCTTGCTAGCTCCGAAACACGGAGGAGGACACGACAATCCGGGCGGTAATTTCGTCGCGAAAAGCGAATCGTGCACGAACTGACCCAGATCTCTCTCCATATCGCGAGGATACGCGTCTAATATCCGAGGATAATCGTGCTTACGGCAGAGAAGGAGAATCGCCCCGGATTCCGCTGGCCGTCGTAATCCCTGACAGTTTCTGAATTCCCGGCGAATTCGTGCTCGCCGGGGCGCGACAGCCAAATGGCCCTGCAACGCGATCGCAAATTTCCCGTCAAATTTCTCGACGGACTTTTAGCCGAGGAAAAATATCGCATTAGCTCCCGGTGTTTTGCGAAGCCACGGGAGGACAATCCTCCCGAGACTCGATAACGATCGCGCTTGCCCGACGGTGACGACGATTCGCGGAAAATCTCATTCCCCCTCGTACGCCGCGATTGCGTGTGCAGAATCGATGGAATAAGATATCGATATAGATACGATATGCGTTGTACGTGAAACCACATATATCTACGAGCAGAATCAGTTTCTTTAATAAGATCCGTCGAGAAGTATTTTGACGAAAATATTTTGAAATTTGGATCGTCGAAAATGGATTATCGAACACGTGTTGTTAGTTTGAAAAGTTTATTGGAAAATAGAGATGGTTATTTTAAAATCGCTATCACTTTATTCGTTGAAATATCGACGACATATGGTCAAATATTAATATCTCGTAGTTGGTCGAGAGAACGATTATTAAATATCTCGCTGTTGTAATCCAAAGAAATTGTAGAAATAAAAAGGCTGGAGCTATTTTTCGTATTATAATATAATAAAATAAACGTGTAACCATTTCTAATTATTAAATGAGAAAGATCCATTATAAATTAACAGTGCATTTCGGAAGAAAACAAAAAGTGAACAAATAAAAAAATACTTTTTTTTATTTATTCACCTATTTGTTTATTTACAAAATAATTACAAAATAAATCGTCAAAACAATATCGTGATATAAGAGAGCATATATATATATATATATTTATCATACACGCAATCATATCTAAAATACATCGGAAAACAAGTATTATTAACTCCAATTGATTAGCAATTATTTATTTCTATTTTCGGAAATATTATTCCATCGGCAAAGTGAAACGATCGCGATCTATAACTCCTGACGCGAGTCGGTAAGACTCGACTCTGAAGTTCTCGCGGGGAGAGATAGTCGCCGCGGCGCGCTGCCTTTGCAGAAATCCGGAGAGCCTTGCCGAGCTCTTACCGCGAGTCGCGCAAGGCCGTTTCAACGGTGGTATTCGGGC